CATGCACATGTACACAAAGGAATACACAAGGAACCATATATGCACATAGATCTATACGTTATGCATGCCCATATACTTTTACACCTTATTAGGGAAGTATCTATGCCTTAAATCATAGCTGCTCTTTCTGAGGTGCTTTACACATAGCACCTCAAATAAAAACTATTTGTTTGAAGAAAATCAGCTCTAGTGCTGCCTGATGGCACTAGCAACAGAATTGGCCAGCCTTCAGCTAGTGCATTGTTTTTGACAGATAAAAGAGGGACTCCTCTATCAAACCTCAATGGCTTCAAAAATCCTTTAAATGACACTAAGTGTGTGTTACCTATCCAGAACTTATGCCAAGCTTTATTCTTTCATTTGCAATACTTGGCTAGACACTCTCTCCTAATTCTCTTGTATTTCAAACTCAGTATGTTTAAAATGAAAGTAATCAGCTTCCCCACTAAAGCTGATCCCTTTTTTCTTTTATTGACATGACCCAATGCCCTAAGCCAGAAAGCTTAGTGTCATTATTCACACTGTTTACACCGTTATCCCTAGCACTCCACGTGTGCCAAGTTCTGTCAATTCAATCGTTTGCTTGCTTTTTCCCATGACTACCTTTTTCTCTTTTTTTTTTTTTTTTTTCCATAATTCACATTCAGGCCTTTATTACTTCTATCTTGAATTATTGAAATAATCTATTTCAGTTACCCTTCTCTTCTCCAATATCAGTATATCCATCTCAGCATAATGCCAATTCCCTGTCCAAAACCCTCAATGTCACCAAATTACTTACAAATTAAGTCCAAATATTTCATCCTTTTCATCAAACCCCTCTATTCTTTGTCTTCCATCTAAATTTCCTAATTTACTTATTATCATTTCCATTCAGATATCAGGGTGCCAGAAAAATTGATAGGCCTATTTCCATTAATTTCCTTTCTTTAGTTTTGTTCCTACAGTTCCATTTGCTTCTTCTTCCTTCTTTTGCACACCTTCCTTAATTCTAACTATTCTTACAATGACAATTAAAATAATGTCTCCTTTATTAAACCTTTCTGATCACTATAATGATTGTCCCTTCCCTTCAAGTACACATGGTATTTTAGGGATACTTTCATGACACTCATCAATTCCTTTCTTATAGTTGTTTAGATACTTAGCTCTTTTCTTACTTGAGAGTATGCTGTTACACTCTTTAAGAATATACTTATTGCACACTTTCGGTAAGATGGAGGAATAGGCAGACAAGCGACACAGACCCTCTTCAACAAAGAAAAGAAAAACCAATTGACAGAGATACGGAAGATAATCCTGGAAACCTGAGCTTTGAAAATAACTATACAGAAGTGAATTAGGCACCATCTGGAGGAAAAATCTGAATGAAAACAGTTAGTACAGAGATGGTCTGAGCTGTGGACTCTCAGCTACTCTGATGGGACCAACAGCCTGAATATTTCCAAGTGGTGTTGCGACCTGCAAATTGACCTAAAGATTAGTCCCAGTCACCAAGGGCACCAGGGCAACTGCTCTGGTGGCCTGTGACTAGGAAGGGAAACAGCAAGGAGGGAGACAACCTGAGCTGTGGACTTTCTGCTGTCTGGAAGGTGCAACCATTTTGATAGTTTACACATGGCAGCCATTTTGGATATTTAAAGTAACCAAGGGCTCAGCCATCTTGAATGTTTACAAGTGGCAACTATTTTGGATTTTAAAGTGATAATATTCTGATTCAGATTCCAGGGACCTAAGAACAGGCTCTGTTTGCCAGGGTCAGCAAGGACATATGAGAGGCTGAAAACAGGAAAGGAGACAGGTGGTGAGTGTATAAGTGATCTCAACTAGTGAATAGAGGAGCACAGCACAGCACCCTGCATGTATAGATAACATACAAACAAAACAAAGAAAACAAAAATTGTGGGCAAGTCACTCAAACATATAATCACCAAGTAAATATGAACACAAAAACATCACAATGCCTCAGAGACAACAGAGCATCACAGTCCACACAAAGAAGCAAGATAAAGCAGGAGAAACAAGGGACCAGGATACAGACCCAAAACACATCCCTGAGGAAGACACAGCATTGTAACTCCCTGATGAGGAATGTAAAAGAATTATATTTAGATATCTTCAAAGGATTAAGAGACAGAACAAAGAAAACACAGACAAAACCCTAGAAGAATTTTGGAAGAAAATTCAAGTACAAAATGACAAAATAAATGAAAAATTAGAAATGATTCTAAATCTACAGATAGAAATCCAGAAGAGTAATAGTGAATTGTCAGAAATAGATAACACATTGAAAGGGCAAAGGAATAGAATTGATGCAATGAAAGGCAGAATTAATGAGATTGAAGACAAATACCTGGATACTTCTTCGGAAAGGGATCAATCAGAAAAAAGATCAAGACAAAATGAAGAAAACATAAGGTTCGAATGGGATACCATCAAAAGGAATAACCTATGTGTCACTGGAATCCCAGAGAAGAAAAATAAAACCACTGAGAAAATTTCCTAAGATTTGTTGGAGGAGAAGTTCCCTGATATGATGAAAGAGGAGAATATATCCATTCAGGACGTCCAACAAACCCCAAACAAGATAGACCCTAAAAAAAGAACACCAAGATATATCACCATCAAACTCACCAAGACCAAAGACAAAGAATCATGAGAGCAGCACAGGAAAAATGAAAAGTTACCTACAAGGGGCAACCAATAAGTCTAAGCTCGGATTTCTCGACAGAAACCATGCAAGTGAGAAGACAGTTGGATAGTATATATAAAACACTGAAAGAGAAAAATTTCCAACCAAGAATTATGCATCCAGCAAAATTGTCACTCAGATATGATGGTGAAATTGGGACATTTACAGATAAGCAGAAATTAAGGGAATTTGTTAAATCCAGACCAACCTTACAAGAGATGCTAAAGGGACCCCTTTGGACAGAGAAGCAACAACCCCAACAACAACTGATCATTAATACACATGATGATATAACCCAGAAACCAACCCAGCCATGGAAGCATGCAAAGTAAATAAGCCTACAAGATTGTAAACAGGGAACCAGAAATACCAATCAACAAATGAGGACAACTACAAACCAAAAAGAGGGAAAAAATCTGTCATACAGAACTTCAAGATGGTAAGGAAGTCAAGACAATTACAAGATAGAATGGACTGTTCTATACTTGGGAAGAAAACTATAAATCACAGGGTAACCTCAAAGAAAAATGATAAACCTTCACATCAAAATAAAAAAGAGAACCAGTGTAAATATTCAGCAAATACTAAAACAATAGCAATGAAGGAAGTGATAACATGATTCATAAACAAAACGAGCTCGGCATAAAAAAATATATGGAACAAAGAAATTGACACAATGAAAAAGCACATGACAAAAATTACAGCAACAAATTCATATTTGCTGATAATTACATATCTGGTAAAGGACTTATCTCTAAGATCGATGAAAAACTCCAAAGCCTCAACACCAAAGGAATGAACAATGCAATTGAAAAATGGGCATAAGACATGAATAGACACTTCACCAAGGAGGATATTCAGGTGGATAGCTAATACATGAAAAGATGCTCACAATCACTGGTCATCAGAGAGAGGTAAATCAAAACAACAATGAGATATACCATCTCACCCCACCCCTTGATGGCAAGGTTCAATGAGACAGAAAATAACAAATACTGGTGGTGATGTGGAGAGATCGGGACTCTCATACACTGCTGGTGGAAATGTGAAGTGACACAACTACTATGGAAAGCCATATGATGACTCCTTAGAAAGTTGAAATTGGAGATAACATTTGACCCAGCAATCCCATCACTAGGTATATATCCTAGAGAAGTGAGAGCCAGGATAGGAACAGACACATGCATGCTCATGTTGATCACAGCACTATTTACAATAGCAAAAAAATGGAAACAACCCACATGCCCATCAGCAGAAGAGAGGATGACCAAACTATGATATATACACATACTGGAATGCTATGCAGCTCTAAAGAATAATGTGTTGTTGTTGTTGTTATGTGCCGTCAAGTCAAATCTGACTCATAGCGAACCCTCCTTGGGTTTACAAGGCGGTATCACTATGGAAGTAGATTGCCCAACCCCTGCAAAACACCGCATAATATGGATGAACTTGGAGAACATTACACTGAGTGAAATAAGTCAATCACAGAAAGACAGTTCGTTGTTGTGGAGGGTCAAGGAAAGGTTTATATATGGAGGGAAACCTTCTTTGCTGGTTGGCAGGGGTGGGAGGGGAGGGAGGGAACACTGAAAAAAAATGTATTGACCCATGTCACTTTAATTTTGTGTATTTCAATATACATAAATTATATTTCAATAAAATCCATTAAAAAAAGAATGAATGGATTTTCCTGATTAGGGAAGAAAAATATTACATAGACATTAACGAAATAATTAGAAATGGAACTCTGATCTTTAATAAGTGGTTTGCTGAGATTCACTTGCTTGAAACAAGTAAAGTAATTTTGAACTGGAAAAAAAAAAGAATATACTTATTGAGTGCTTGAGATCACAGTCCATGTTTATTTTTGTAACCCCTACAATGTCTATTACAATGTGTTGCATATTATAGCTATTCAATGAATATATACTGACTTAATAAATGGATATTTAAGAATTCAACACAATAATTTACTGTGGTAAATATTCTTAGTTAATTTTTTTCCATTGGAGAATAATCAGTAGCTCATTGATTAACAATTTCAATAAATTTCAGTAAATATTACTTTAAATTGTTTTGATCATACATGCAATTTAATCCTTAAGGGAAGCCTAGGATTTCATCATAATGATTGAGCTTTATTGTGTGCTTATTTCAATGTATCAAAAAATTTAATAATCATCAAACAGATATGAAACAACCAAACCACAGTGATTTTCAATGTAACATCTCCAGGATAAGAAATAAATTGTTACATTCATTTTATACTTAAAGACAATTATTTTTTTTTAATTTATTTTCCCAGGTGTGATGGGAGAATATGAGCCAAAAATTGAGGTCCATTTCCCTTTCACAGTTACAGCTGCTAAGGGAACAACTGTTAAGATGGAGTGCTTTGCACTTGGCAAGTAAGTACATATTCTTCAATAATTAGACATGATTGTTTATTAAAATGTGACCTAACTTATTTTGGGACCACTTGTTTTGCTAGTTTTCATCTTCCCAGAATGTCCTTGGTGAATATTTATTTTTAAAAAAGAGGAGTAAACAGGAATAGAAGAAGTAACCAATTATAGTTACCTGTTAGTCATTTCAGTGGACAATAATGTATAACTTTGCTATTTTAAGATAAAGGAAACATCTCTAGATAAAAGAAGAGCTTTACATCTTTTTGCTTACTTGTCTGAAGATTTAAGCCTCATCCCTAAACTCTATTCTGCAATGACATAAATGAAAGGAGGACAAAAGGATGAGATACTATCTGCTCTTCATGGATAGAAAGTAGACTCTGATAAGATACTATAAGACAAGTGTATAAAAATTATAAGAATAATAGTTACAGTGAACCAATTTATTAATTTAGTATCTTCTAAAATAATGACAAAATGATACTACCAGCTATCAATATGTACCATACATAATCATTCTCCGAATGAGAAAGATGACTTATATCCAACTGTAATGCTTCCTGTACTTAATGATTCTATTTCTGAGAATTTAAAAGCCATGATATGTAGTCATTTGTCAATGATGTTTGCAATATGGATACTGGGAATAGGGGGAGGAATGGGATTTTGATTATATTTTATTAGAGTATTATGATTCATTTTAAATGGAGTGTTGTTGTTGTTGTTAGGGTAAGACCTCAGAGTCCTTTCTATACTCTATAATTAGAATTTGCATAAATTCATCTCTATGAGAGTTTCAATCATTCTACTTCAGTTCTGAGATAACTCCCACAGCATAACCATAAATTATTTGGAGATAAGATGCATGCTACATTGCTATATAAATGTGCTTATGAAAGTATATCTATCCTATGGATGAGGAAAATATTAATAAATATGAAAATCTTAGCTGGTGAGTGGAGGCTTAACAAATTAACATAAGTACTAAGTGTTCTAGTTTCAAGACTGATTAAATAACAGATATGTGCAATTCTAAGTTGAAGCAGCATCATACCAGACTGAAAGCATAATAAATTGTGTGGCCCATCTTTCAAGCAAAAAATTCCCGAAAGTCAAAGTATTTCAAGAACTTAAAATTCATCTAGGAAATATTTGGGCAAATAGTAGAGGAAGTTTTCCAAAACCAAAGAAAGAGTGAAACCAAAATCAAGCCCATTGCCAGCAATTCAACTCTGACTCATAATGACCCTATAGAACAGAGTAGAACTGCTACATAAGGTTTCAAGACTATAATCCTTGTGGGAGTTGTTGTTATTGTTGTTGTTGTTAAGTACCTTTGAGTCAGACGTGACTCATAGCAACCCCTTCTTGGGTTTCCAAGGCCCTCCTTGGGTTTCCTAGGCAGTATCTCTACAGAAGTAGATGGCCCCATCTTCCTTCTGAGGAGCGACTGGTGGGTTTGAACCACCAACCTTCTGGTTAGCAGTCAAGTGCACTATACTACCAGAGCTCCTTCCTTATGGGAGTAGACCGCTACATCTTTCTCCCAAAGAGCAGCTGATGGGTTCAAACCACCCACCTTTTGGTTTGCAGTCGAGCACTTAACCACTGTGCCACCAGGGCTCCTTAAGATAATAGTTAAATGCATAAAATTAAATAATACCTTAAAAGTACTTATTTTACTGTGTGCCCATGTGGTGTCACATATGTCTAAAAATTGCTCCAGAAAAGAAGTTCAATTCTGATGAAAGCAAAAACAATATATATTGGCTTGATGCCAAATGTTTTAGTATATCCTGCAGTAAAATAACTCTTAAATACCAGAGTTTCTACTAAAGCCACAAACAAAGGAAGGTCATATTGTAAAACAAATTAGGGTATTAGATTTATAAGAAAAATAATAATTATACATACATATATATTTCCCCAGGCAGGCTTATTTAATAAGTCACTTTTGTTTGCTTTTGAAGCTCTTGCAATATTCTTAGTAAACTAAACTTTATAGTTCCTTTGATTCCAGATAGGATCCAACAGTCAAATCATTTATCTTCTTTTATTAAAACTTTATGACTCTTCATCTTTTTCACTCCTTCTTTGCTATCTCATGAAAAAATTTTAAAAAATAGGGGGAGGAAAGAGTAAGGAAGATAGTCTCACTCAAGCAGGTCTCTATTGTTCATCTGATATCGTTTCTGTGAAGTATCACAATTAAGAAGAAGAAAAAAACTGTGTCATGAAGAAATCTATTTCCCATCCTGGTTAAAATAAACAAAAATCAAAGAAATTGTGTGCATTCATTCCCTTGCAACATTTTATTATGTAGAGTAAATCATTATTACCTACTGACATGATCACTACAATCTCAAATTAATAACTGAGGATCTGCTTAGTTCCCAAGCCACTAGAACTGCTTCTCACTTTAACAATTACAAGGTATGCTGGTGAGCCTTTGTTTTGATAACTTTTAGTATCTGTCACTAGACATTGGTCAAGATCTTGCTATCCAGGCTGACTCTTCCCCATTAAGTCTGTCCTCATAGACTATTTTAACCAAATATTCCTCATAGAACATTATAACCAAATTTTGGCATGGGGCTTGTCAAGACTTTTCTACCTCATGGCCTTTGCGCTTGCTATCACTCTGCCTGGATCACTCTTCTTTTGTTCTTTCCATGCTGGCTCCCTTTAATCTCTGGCTTCAACTTAAATATCTCCTTGAGGAGCCCTGGTGGTGCAACAGTTAAACACTTGGCTGCTAACTGAAAGCCTGATCTTTTGAACCAACCCACTAGCTCCACAGAAGACAGACCTGGAGATCTGCTTCTGTAAAGTTTGCAGCTTGAAGAAGCCTATGGGACAGTCTTATTCTGTCATATGGGATCACTATCTGTGAGGAGCAACTCTATGGCACCTGACAGCAACAACAAAGAGCTATTTGTGCTCAACTTATTTCATTCAAATCCGTTATTATCTATCTAAACATTTTTAATTTTTTTCTTTGCAACCTTTAATACAATTTTATTTTACTTATGTATTTTCTCAAGGAGATCTGGTGGCATAGTGCCTAAGGCATTTGCCTGCTAACCAGAAGGTTGGCAGTTCAAACCCCAGCCACTCCTCAGAAGGAAGGTTGGGCAATCTACTTCCGTAGTGATACCGCCCCGGAAACCCAAGGAGCGGTCACTATGAGTTTCAATCAACTTGATGGCAGTGAGGTTTTTTTGTTTGTTTGTGTTTTGTTTTGTTTTTCCCATGTATTTCTCTATTTATTTATTTAAAATCCTCCCTATTAATTAGTATATGTCTGGGAAAAGGATCCAAATCACATGGTTCAAAAGATTTTGATGAAGGGACAACTTAAAGATTTGTGAACAGGGTGAAGAGGACCAAGATGAGAAGCTGAGGTACTTGGACACTAGTGAAAACAAGAGGTCTTTCCCACACTTAAGCATAAAAGAGTAAGGGGAAGAAACAATGTTACTAGAACAGTGAAAGTTGGAGACAAGGAATGGGCAGGGAGACCCACAAGAAGCTGTTGTAGTTACTATAGTCATGAAGAGACGCAGCCATTATAAGCACACAGATAAGGAAGGGAACAGGGACTTCATTCATAGCCTGACTTCTTTGTCCTCATCTCTTCTGATCTCCTCTAGTATTTCCCATGGAAAAAGCCATTTTTCAAGGACAAAATACAATGTACAGTGCACAAGACGGGTTGTGGAGGAGGAACAAGCAGGTGGTAGACAAAGGAGGCAAACAAAACAACCAGAACAGTCCCCGTCATCAGGCCTTAAACTCTACAAGGGCAGAAAGCTTGACTGTGTTCTTCATAGGTATAGTTCTATTGCCTACCAGAGTGCTTAGCACACAGATTTAAAAAAAAAAACCTGAAACCCTCGCCATCAAGTAAATTCCAAATCATAGCAACTCCCATTGGATTTCCCAGGTGGTGAATCTTTACAGAAGTAGATTGCCCCATCTTTCTTCCACAAAGCAACCGGTGGATTTGAACTCCAACCTTCTGGATAGTAGTAAAATGCCTCAAGCACTGTGCCACCAGACTTTTTGACACATATATAGCACTCAGGAAAAGTTGTTGAATGAAAGAATGAATTTATAAATGGTGTGCCTATTTAACCTAATCAACTTTATTATTAACTGATAATAAATAATAGTTTCCCTGTTCACACATTGTTTTGACTAACTTCTATCTTCCCAAAGTCAACAACATCTACTCTCTACTCTCATCATCTATTTCAGTCCAAATTTACACTTGTACCCTTGAGTCCACCTGTTCCTGACAGTTTTCACCTCACTCCGTGGAGTGTCCTTTTTCTGAGATGTACAAATTCTCCCTCTTTTGATTTTATTCTCAAAGCTTATTATTATGCTTAAGACATTTTTTTCTTTAAAAGCCTCACTTGAAGGTATGTTTTTTTCATTTTTTATTTTTAAGGTAAGAATAAGTAAAATTTATCGTATTTAAGGCTAGGGTGAAGGAAAGAATGAAAAATGTATATCACAGAGGGTGATAATTGATATAATAATGGCTTAATTAACAAATAAGGAAATGACTATGAGCACAAAGGAAGTGTATGTCTTCCATCCCTATTAGAACAATTTAGATATCTTGCCAGAAATCACCACTTTGATCATGTTATTTATAGAATCAAATGCTCTCCTCTCTAAGGAAAAACGATCCATTCATTAACACAGAATTGCCAAAGTGCAAGTGGTGGGCTTTGCGTAGCTCATGTCATTACTTTAAATGGACTAAAGAATTTTGAACAAACCTAGAACTGAAAAAAGGTCTGAAGCTATTAAGAGCCAACTCTGTGCCAGACATTATACTAACTGGCAAGGATTTTATGATGAAACATCATGGCCTCTTTTCTCAAAAAGATTCATTCTATCTTTATATTGGAATGAGATCTGAATGCCAGATTCATTCAGCAGATCTAACACCATATTCTCTGGAATCCAGTCTCAGTCATTACATG